AAAGACACGACCGCTACCTCTTGGTTGTACTCGGGTATTCGGTTGAACACCTCATAGTACCTTTTTGCGTAGGCCCTAAGGCCTTTATCCTTACTGATTCTTAGAACCATCAATGCATCCACCCTCAATGGCTGTAGTTTGTTTGTCACGAACCTGGCCACAAATATCTTGGCCAGGCCTTTCCAGGTCGTCACACTTCCCTTTCGCAGTTTGTGAAACCAGTCTGATGCAATCTCCCCGAAGGATGAGGGGAACACTTTGCAGAGCAACGGCTCGTTCCCACTATATAATGCCATTGAGTTCAGGCATAATCCAACGTGAAAGTTGGGGTCTGACTTACCGTCGTATATTTGGAACCTCGACATACTGAATCTCTTTGGAGCCTCAAATTTGTCCAACTCTACCGAGAATGGTGTTCTCGATTTAACTATTGAAGTTACCTCGGCATGATCTTGTTTCCTCTTGAGGTAATCTCTTAAGTCCTCTTTGGTCCGCCCAGGAGCTCGGCTATCTCCTGATTTCAGTCTCTTAGGTGCACTGCTTTTAGCTTCTTTGTGAGCCCTTTTTGATCTTTCTCCGTTGGTTACGTCGAAGCACAACTCCTGCCTCTGAACATGCTGATGTTCTCTGGGGTCTGCCTCCTTGGTGCGATGTGTCCCTCAAGACTCTTACCTTCCTGGCTCTCTACGCCCGACCTCCCTTGAAGGCCGGTGAGAATGTTTTTCACTTCTAGGGTGCTGGGGGGCTATAGGGATAGTTTTCTGTCCTCCCTTCTGGGCATTGGCTGCTGGAATCGGCGTGCCATGCAGCGGGAATAGTGGCTGCATGACATTGTTTTGCATCATGAAGTTGACGACCGATTGTAGGTCCGCCAACTTGTTTGCCATCTCTTTAACCTCTTCATCCATCCGTAGGCATCTGTCCTTCTATACCTGGAGGTTATCTTCGTTATAGTACCCGCTTTGGTCTGTTTGCTTTGGTATGTTGCCTTCTTGGCCGACGTCTTTTACTCCGTGATTCTGGTCTTCGTTGCAATTGTCCTTCTCGACGTGAACGTCAATAGGTCTCCCACTCCCGTTAGGAGTGTCGTCCCCAACCTTCTCCTTCTGTCCGTCGTTGGCTATCTATTTTTCTTTCTTTCCCACAGACGGCACCACATTGTGTGAGTGATTTTCTGACCACACTGTCAACTCAGTAATCAGCTGGAAAGTACTGGCAGAATAGATGACACTTGGCTGACCTGCAACAGAAAGAGAAGATTCCGGCAGTAGTTCGTCCACCCGGGGGCACTCCGACGATCAAGTCAGTATATCTCTCAAAGATAATCAATAGTGCTAAACTCACTGTTCAAAATATAAATTGCGTACCTTAGACCCATCGGGGGTGCCTTTCTTTTATAGTTAACTCAATCCTTATCCCAACAGAAGCCTAGCTTCAATGGACTTTGGCTTAGTGCTTATCCAGGACTCTTCAATAGATAGAGATGAACTCCCTAAGAGCTTTATCTTTATCCAGGCTGAGTTCCCTCATCATTCTAGGACTCTTGTGCCCTATCTGCTTATCTCGGATTCCGATATCTTCGGAGATAACCTTGGCCTTGCCGAGATAACTTCGGCGTCATGACCAGGACACGTGACACCTCGGCTGACACGTCAGCGTCACCTTGGCCACGTGTTGGTACTCAAAAAATATATCCCCACAATATTATAGCAATAACCATTAGAGATACTCTTAGTTAAAATATTTAAAATTTACTTATCTATCATTTTAAATTATTTTTTATTAATTAAGAAATAAATTTATCTATTATTATTTAATCCTATGTATAGCACCGATTGTACGCTAGCTTGTTTTAAACTGAACAAATTGTTTGTTGATTGCCTCATATATATATTTATTTATTATGTATGATAGTATTCAATTCATAAGTCCCAACATGAAGGGAGGGAAAAAGGGATTTCAAGACTGTGTAGGGAGTAGTGGACTATGGAGTGATAGACATGGATGCGAGGTGATGGTGAACAGTGGTGGGGCTTTGGGTTGAGAAGAAAAGAAGAGCAGGTTGGCATTTGAAGGACAAAATTGGCATTAACATGTCTTTTTTTGGATGTTGCCAACAATTTCTATGTAGTCAATAAACAGATGCTGTTAACAATTTCTATGTAGTCAATAAACAGAAGGATTAAGGTGTTATGTAAATTTCTAAAGTGAAGGTAGTCTCATTTCAAAAAATAAAAGGGTGTCAGTGCTATTTCAAAGATATAGAAGGCTGTAAGTGTAATATACCTTATATTTAAATATCAATCCTGACCAGGAAACATTTTGGGAGAATGTTATAAATTCTAAATTTTTTAACAAATAAATGGCCAAATATGTTATTTATTTGGTAAAAAATTAGTATCTCCAACCTTATCTACCATTTTGAGTTCCTAAAGTGCCCACGTGTGTGAGACATCATTGGTCCTCACTGGTTTGTGTTTTTTTTTTTTTTTAACAGATCACTGGTTTGTTTGTGTTTCGCATTTTCTTCTATATAAGCTCTGCAAAGTAGCTCTTTCCAATGTGTTAAAAGATTAATCATGCCAAGAAGAGACATGAGTTCTTCTAAGGCACAGCAACAAACACACAACTCATGTCCTCCTCATGTGGTGTGCATACCATACCCAGCACAAGGCCACATCAACCCAATGCTGAAACTAGCAAAGCTCCTCCACCACAAGGGCTTCCACATCACCTTCATCAACACCGAATTCAACCACCGCCGCCTCATCAAATCCCAGGGCCCCCACTCCCTCTCCGGCACCGCTTCCTTCCGCTTCGAAACCATTCCCGACGACCTCCCTCCCTCAGAGGCCAACGCCACGCAGGACATCCCGGCACTCTGTCACTCCATTTTGCACAACTTTATAGATCCCTTCAGAATCTTACTCGCCAAACTCAACCACGACGCTGCTGCTTCATCGGACGTACCTCCGGTGACATGCATAGTTTCAGATGGGACAATGAGCTTCACTCAGAAAGTGGCTGAAGAAGTGGGCATACCTGCTGTTTTTTTCTTCCCTGGCAGTGCTACTGCCTTAATGGGCCTTGTGGCTTATCCCCAACTCATACAGAAGGGTTTTGCACCACTCAAAGGTGCGTACTGAAATCATCGATATATTAGCAGGATTTTATTATTTTTTATTTTTATAAAATTTTAATATAGAATGGTGTGTCTTGATATTGAGCTTTTATTTTAAAATTAAATGTCTATGAAAATAAGAGAAATACTGTAGCACTATTCAAGTTAAAAATTAAACTCACTTTTTAAATTGTGTAATGTTATAGTATATTAAAATATTTAAAAAAAAAGGTTCTCTTATATCATATTTAATAATTCATTAATTATTTTATTTATACATCATTTGATCTAGAAAATTGATCAGCAAATTCGACTTATATATGATTTTTATACTAAAAATTACAAAAAGTTTAACATGTTAAAATACAAGCTAGTTAGACTTAAAAAAATGAATCCGATTGGGTATTTAATGTAATTTAATCAAGTAGTTATCGATATCCGATTAATATGATTTTTTATAAGAATAAAGTACTAGACGAGTCCTACACATTAACGGATCAAATCATTAATGTAGAGTTCGTGGTGAGCCCACAAAGGCACAACAATACACTCCAGCTTGATTTAAACTGTTGAGAAGCCTTCCCCTATCTATTGATACATCTATTCCTAGATTTATTGTTAAAATAGTGTTTGTTTATAAAACTATCATTAACACATTTTTTATGTGACATTTTTTTGTATAATGTTTGTGTACTAGTAGAGGATTTTTTGGGGGAAAATTACCACACAATGGTATTTCAAAAAAAATATATTACAATTTCATGGTAAAAATTATAATTTTAATAATTAATATTTATAAAATTTACCATTTATTTATAATTATTTTTTTAATTTACACTGAATTGAAAGTTTCTCATTTTTTTTTGTAACTCCTTTTTTTAGAATAAATTATACTAACTCTCTTAAAATTTCAAAATTATATTAATTTTTAAAATTGTAATTACATTAACTTTCCATATATTTTATGCTTCCTTATTCTTAACAGTTTCATTTTTTTTTTGTTTTGTTTTTGTTTTGATTTGGTTAATCAACAGCTAATAATTTCAATGTAAAACCATAACATCATCAAATTTTATTTTAAAATGTCAATATCTATCTTTAATTGAACTAACTTCCGAGTTCTCCCAGCCCACCTTTTAATCTCCAGGTACACCTACACCACCACCACCAGAAAATCAAAAATCAATGTAAAAAAAGAAATATTTATTAAAAAATGTAATAAAATTAAAACAAATGTAATTTAAATATGTGATTATCAAAATCCATTAAATCATATTTTTGTACATAACAATTAGTCAAAAAGACTAAAAATTAAACAACTTAAATTAATGAAATGGATTTGAGGTGGACCCATTATGGGACCCTCCAAGCCAATTGGTGGGCTAGAGATTTTATTCATTATTTTATGTGGCATAATTACAGTGGTTAAATTTATTTTACACTTGTGGTTTGGAGGCTAAAGCATTTTAGAAAGCTCTCATGTAATTTTGGATTAAAGTATCACTGTTAAGACACGACCATACCGTGTCTCCTATCCTGTTTTATTTGTCAGTTTATTTTTTTCTGTTTTGTTACTCTCTTCAAACTTAAGTTGGTTAGTTCCTATCCTCCTTGAGTTTGAGGGGGGCTGTTAATGTACACTAAACCTAACCCACTAACCTAACCCACTACATCCACCCCACTAAACCTAACACACTTACCATCTCCACTACCACCCACCACCTCCACTACCATCCACTACCACCACTCACTAACCCAAACCCTCTCCTATATAATGCCACTCTGATTTGTAATACTATATATCAATATACACAACAATCTTGTAATACATATCAATCAATAAAAATACATCAATTTATCTTACATCTATATCTATAATCAGTTCTGTTTTTACTGTGAATTTCAATTTAGAAGGTTTATCTATTTCACCCTATATATATGTATATATATGATTGCAGTATCTGAAGAGGAAGAATCAAAAGCCCCTCTTTGAAGCTTTACAGAAAGTCAAAGAAGGTGCCTAAAATTTCATGTTGTTTGAAATTATTGCAAACTGTATTCTCTCTCAATTTTGTTTCTAAGTCTAATTATTATATTATTTATGGAAATGTGGGTTGGGAGCAGAGTTGATGGTGTTAGGGTTCATTTCGCTACTTCTGACTGTATTCCAAGGCAGTATAATCAAGATATGTGTTAATCAGAGTGTTACCCATCACCTCCTTCCTTGTAAGCTCCCATCACAATCTTCTTCCCACCAAGGAGATTCTTCTTCTAACACCACTGAAACTACTTCCCATCATCGCCGTTTGCTCGCTGAACAATTACCCGGGGCCAATTACTGTGCTGCGAAGGTGATCGGATTATCCCCTTGCCTCCCCCCTTGATTCTGTTTTTGTAATCTAACTATACTAACATTCTAATGCTTTGTTTGACAACAAAACAAAAGAATCTTACCACATACTAGTTTTATAATCTTCTGCTGTAATTGTGTGTTTATCGTGACATAGATACGTCTTTGGAAGCACTGGGAAGACTCCATTGCAAAAGATAATTATGATACAAAACAAGGTGAGAGTTACTGCCCATTAAAGCTCAACAAAATTTGCTCTGTTTTTTTTGGTGACTATTTTAATTATGGTGTGTATGCACATGCCATGCACATATGCATTTACGTGATAGATTTTCACTCTTAGGAGTATGTTACGGAAACTGTTCAATATGGATCATATTTCTTCTACTAAAGAAGATTTGAATTCAACTAGGGTCTATGTTAACAGATTGATTGTGAAGACTTTAAGCAGTTGTTTGCTTCTGATGTTATTATTAGTATTGTGAAAAGAATATACTTTGGGAATCTGATTTTATATATCAAAAAAAAAAAAAAAGAAAAGAAAAGAAAAGAAAAGGGAATCTACTTTGGGAAAGGAAGAAGAAAATAAAATTGTGACACCAATGCTCTTGGCATAAGATAGTAAATATTTTGGAGCTTAATTGCTTTCATCCTGTGTCCTTTGTAAGTTTTACTTTGATCTGGTTCATAATACTTCTAGTCTGTGCACGTTATTTGTGCAGTTTTGGAACCTAAGCTCACTGATGTCCATCAACATGATTTCATCTAGGGTCGCTTTTTGGGTATTGGTAAAATTTCAGTGATGTTGGGCTGGTTGGTAAGTTCTTATCCTCTCATGGTAGAATGCGTCTTCCATTCTCCCATTTTGCAGAAAATGGTACTGTGTTTGACATTTCTGCATACCTCTGATCCAATGATGCCTAATGTTTCTCCTAAGACATTGTTTTCACCTTGATCTATTATTTTCTTTAATAGTATACCTTCATGATGATATGGCACAAACTGGCGTAACATCCTAAGTCTGTTGTGGCTTGGCTGCGCCAGCCCTGGCTTGGTTTCACCTTGATCCATTCTCCCATTCTGGTCTTGTTGCTTTGTATTTTAGCAATACCCAGTTTACAAATTGAACCAACTATCCCTTAAACATTGCTCTTGAAATATAAAATAATGTTTCTTGAACTGTCTCATTGTTGGGTAGCTATATAATCTGAAACTACTTGAATGATATGCTTATTGTTTTCTAAAATGCATTGAGTCATATTTGTAATGCCTTGTTATGTTGTACTTTTCAGTATTCCTTTTTCAAGCAATTTTATGGATCCGTCACCAGATCAGACTACATGACACTGAGACTTGGTTTTATCATGGTAAGTATCTGATGTTGTGTGGTAAGTATCTGATGTTGTGTGGTTTGTGTTTGCTTTTATATTTGTTTATTTTTCTTATTGCTACTTCACAAGCATTTGCGTTAATGTTGAATATTTTTTTTTTTACTGGTAGACACATTGCAGGGGAAACCCAAAGTTCAATTTTCACAAGTATATGATTCGTGCCCTAGAAGATGATTTTAAGAAAGTTGTTGGTATAAGGCAAGTGATAACTGGGATTACCTGTTTAAATGCTAAAGCTTCCTATGGCTTCTTTTGTTTGTTCATTGGGCAATTTGCCAAAATTAATTAATTATTTTTTTAAGAAGAAAGAAAGAGTTTATAGTGCTGGTTTGCCATTTAGTTACTAGGAGGGTATTGCCTAAAAGATAAAATTTCCTTCTATTTTAATATCAATCTTTGCTCCTTTTCTTCTTTTTATTTATTTTTATTTTTATTTTAATGGGTTAATATCAGATTTGGCTGGTTGCAGTTGGTATCTATGGATATTTGTGGTCATCTTCTTGTTGCTGAATGTCAGTGGTATGTTACTTTCACTTTAAATCCTAATGCCAAATGTTATCAAGTGAATTGATTATTTTCTTGTGCTTTAATTTTAGTTTCATGTTGTTGCTCAATGTTGTTGGGTGTGTTACATGGACTCGCCACTTTGGGGCGAAGTACCCGTGTCGACACGACACGACACGGGTGCGGGTGTGGGATCTGTGTCGGATTCGCCTATTCTTTTTCGGACACGGCTTTTTACAGTGCAAAAGAAATGAAAAAGGTGAGAGCAAGAGAGAACCTGGTCGAACTAGTCGATCCAGTCGAAGATCGAAGACCTTGATTGAGCTCCATCCTTTCGATCCAGTCGAAGATCGCAGCTGCATCAGTCGATCGAACAGCCGAACACCCAGACGACTTCGAAAAGCCTCTCTCTCTCTCTCCCTCTCCCTCGCACTCGCGATCGCGATCGCGATCGATGGCTTCGCTTTTCTCTCCGTCTGTCTCAGTCGTTCGTCTCTGTTGATTCATATCTCTATTCGTATCTATCACTAAAATAAAAATATTTATAAAAAAATTAAAAAATTTCCCGTGTCTCCTGTCGTGTCCGTATCCCCATTTTTCAAAAATTGTCGTGTCCTGTGTCCGCGTTATAATAAATATATATTTTTTTTAAAAATTATTTAACGTATCCCCGTACCTATATCCAAATTTGGATACATATCCACGTATCCTTAATTTTTAATTTTAAAGTGTCCGACCCCTAAATACGCACCCGCGCCCGATATCCGTACCCGAGTCCGTATAACTTAGGTTGTAACTAACATTAATTTGAAACATCACGACTACTTTGGTCACATCCGACCCCATATTGGATATAACTTCTAATAGTTTTGGGGCCGCACCAGAACAAAGCCTACAACAAAATACCACAATACTTCCTAATTAACATTATTTTAATTCGTACTTGTGTATATAGTATACACCAAGTATATTGTAGCTTGACTCTCCATTTATGTACTAATGTTTTCCTAACTGTAATCTTTTTCTTCAAAAATGCAGATGCAAGTTATTTAACAAATGGTTACCTAGACACTGATAGATTGGATACCAGGCATGAATGGCATACGATTGAAGGATCTCCCAAGTTTCATTCGAGCCACTGAACTGAATTTCATGATTCATTTCGTTTTGGAAGCAATTGACAAAGCACACGAAGCTTCGGCCATTATTTTCAATACCTTCAACGCTTTAGAACATGACGTTTTAGAAGCATTGTCAACAATGTACCCACCCATATACCCCATTGGCCCTCTTCAGTTTCTCCTCGATCAATACCCACAAAATCACTTGAATTCCATTGGATCAAGTCTATGGAAAGAAGAAACAGAGTGCCTTTCATGGCTTGACTCGAAACAACCCAACTCTGTCGTTTACATCAACTTTGGCAGCATTACTGTTATGACAGCCCAACAGTTGATTGAATTCGCTTGGGGTCTCGCTAATAGCAACCACACATTCTTATGGATCATTAGGCCTGATCTGATTGTTGGTGACTTGGCAATTCTTCTACCAGATTTTGTGAGTGAGACTAAAGAAAGGAGTCTATTAGCAAGTTGGTGCCCTCAAGAACAAGTCCTCAATCATCCATCAATTGGAGGTTTCTTGACACACTGTGGGTGGAATTCGACTCTTGAGAGTATTTGCAGTGGGGTCCCTATGTTGTGTTGGCCATTCTTCGCGGATCAACAAACGAATTGTTGGTCTTGTTGCAGCCAATGGGGTGTAGGGATGGAGATAAACAGCGATGTTAAGAGAAAGGAAGTTGAGAGAATGGTGAGAGAGTTGATGGCTGGAGAGAGGGGGAAAGAGATGAAAAGAAAGGTCATGGAGTGGAAGAAGTTGGGTGAAGAGGCCACGGCTTGTTCTATTGGGTCATCTTACTTGAATTTTGAGAAGATGGTCAGGTTTGTGCTTATGTCTGCTGGTTCAAATCAAAGTAGTTTGAAAATCTAAGTGATTCGTGATTAGATCAAGATTAAAATATTCCAAATCCCAAAAAGAACCAAAAATTCAAAACACTCAACCTAAAATCATCAAACACTTACGAGAGTGATTTTAGTTTGTTTGTTTTTGAGAATAAACAATAAATCAACACAAACGATTTTTTACGTGGAAAAAACCACAATTGAAGAGCCTTCAATTGTAATAAAAAACTACGGGCGAACTGCCACTATCAATCCACTACTGAAGAACGAAAAGATTACAAAGAAATCGTACAAATTACCCAACCCTAGTCAATTTGTCTCTGAATCTTCTGTAACTCTTTTCACCACACCTTCGTCACGGAATTGATTCTGAAGTTGATTCCACACCACAACTTCACTTGTCGAATTAACGACTGCGTAGACTCAAACGCCTTTTGGATCCTACGCTTTGATCTTCGGAATCCACCGAAGAGAACTCTCTCTTGAATTTAAAGAAACCAACTCCTTGATGTATGTATTTTAGATCCTGAGTGAAGAACTCTTCTCAAGACATCAAGAAAAACTCTCAAAAATCTCCCAAGAAGACTTTAAACACAACCCTAGTTTGTTTTTATCAGATCTAGGAAAACCGTCCAAACAAAACAACGTTAGCAGCTTTAAATAGGAATCTGAATCGCGAACTCCGCTCGAGCTCAACATAGCCCGCTCGAGCGGACTGAACAAAAACTGCATACGAAGAAACAGAGATGCGCTCGAGCGTAGGAGTTTCCGCTCGAGCGTCACATCACACCTTCCAGTAACTGTGCTTGCCCTGTCAAACTACTGTGACCTGCCAATCTACGCTCGAGCTCAAGAGTCTCCGCTCGAGCGCACAGTACAAAAACAGAAAAACAAAGTTTTGAATCCACACAAGATTTTGTCTCCGGATTTGACAACACAGGGACCTAACAATCTCCCCCTTTGTCAATTCCCGGACAAAACTTTTCTAAACAAAAATCCTTAAACACAAGCACTAGACAAAATGCAAAAACCAATACTAAAACACTCAAAACAACTCAAAACAACTCTATGAATAAACAAGCTTTCCAATCTCAAAACAACTCAAAACAACTCTATGAATAAACAAGCTTTCCAATCTTGCCATATATCAAGCCATCAATCCAATTCATCATCCACCATGCACCTGTAAAAAAAAACGAGCAACATACCAGAAAAACCAAAACTTGTGGAACTGTATAAGAATAGAGCAAAATGTATCCATTCAATAGAACCAACGGAACACAATATCAAAATATCCATACAAAAGACCAACAATATCCATGTACCATCAACAAAATATACCCATGTCCAATCCAGCATGAACCAAACTCTCCCCCTTTTTGACCGGGAAAGAAGAAAGCTACAAATCAGACGGAGGAGGGGGCGGCTGAAGCGTCAGTAAGGAAATGATGTGATCCAGCTGCGAAGTATTGTGCACAGCAGTCTGCTCCAGCCGACCAAGACGACCATCAAAAGCGTCAAAGCGAGCATCAAGAAAGTCTAACCTCCGAGTCATAGCCTCCTCAAAATGCCGAAACTGAGCAGGAAACGAGCTAGGTGGAACAGGTGGAGTAGGATCCTCCTCACCCCCGGCGGCAGCAGCATCATATTCAGCCTCCTCAGCAAGACCAGCAGTGGTACCTGTAGAAGGACCAGCCCGAGAGGCAAACTCATCATCATCGAGGGTAGGAGCCCCAAGGTCAGACAAAAGGCGGTTGATCAAGCAACCATAAGGAAGGCCAAGCTTGGAATGGCCATGAGCACTGATCATCTTGGTGACAATAAGAGAGGCACGATCAATAGAGCGGTGATTGGCAATACAAGACAAAATGAATCCTTGGTCTTGTTTGACCTCGGAAGAATGTGTGGTGACAATGATGTTGGCGCAGACAATCAAATTAAGCAGTCTGAACTCCGGAAGAAGTTCAAACTGTTTAATCAAACCGCCTTTAGGCCAATGACGGGCAACACCACAAAGTTCCAAAGACACCTCATCAAAGTCACAAGTAGGACGATCAGGTACAGGAAACGGATAGTGTTGAGGAAAAACTTGCTCAATCTGTAGAAGTTGGCGAATCAAAGCAGGGGTGACAGAAATGGATTTGGACCTAACCCAAGTGGTGAAAGATGGCTCATAATCCCGAATACCCTCCATATTACAGTAGAATTCTCGAACCCAATCGAGATTCTGACGCCCCGAGAATAATAAAACACGGTCACCACCTAGAGGGTCGAACAATGGACGAATTTTGATGGACTCAAAAGTATCGGGTTGAACATTACGTTCTAAATGAACAGTTCGAGCCACAAACGATTTATGGAATGACTTGGCTTGAGAGGCTGACTGAAACCTCTCAGGATTATAGGTAGGGCGAGAAACAGTGGCCTTTCGGCGTTTTGGGGCAGGAGCAGACATACCAAAGAAGACACTAAGACACCCAACAAAGCAGCAAACCCAAAACCCAATCCCAAACCAAAACAAACCAAAACAAAACATTAGTGCAAGAATCAAATAAAAAATAGAGCAGAACAAAAAACAGGGCATGAAAGCATGGTATTGAAGAACTCATAATGAATACACAAAATGTGAGAGAAATTGCACAGAATAAGTATGAATCATGAGTAAAGCACAGCAATGTATCTAAGCCCAAATTGATACCCACGCAAGGAGACCTCAACAGTCCATGACAGTAGGAACACAGATAACGTCAAATACCACAGACACAACACAGAAAAATACTAAAAAAAAACAATCAGACAAAGAAAGAAAAAAAAAATGGGAGAGAGAGAACCACAGACACGACACACAACACCCCACAAAGCTACAAACCCAACAACCAATCGAACCAAATAGAACAAGAAAACGGGAAAAAAGGAGAGGATAA